GTGAGGTTTCAGCCGCACCATGGATGGCTTCGACTATGTGCTAGCTCTGAGGACAGGCCCAGAGGGAAGGGAGAAGAGGACTGACCCTCAGCTCCCACCACAGACCATGGCCTTGTGCAGCTGCTTTTACTCACCCATACTCTGCAGGTAATGCTAGCCAGGCTCAAATACTGAAGTGTCCCCACAGACAGAGGTGCTGGCAGGGCCCTAGGGCTCTCAGGGAGGGGTGGTCCTTGAAACCTAGAGTGGCCAGAAAATGGTGGCTGGCAGGGTGTGAGAATTGGTGTGGACCCAAAGGACAAATGAAACCTGTACTGGAAAGGGATAGTGGGAGTGGGAAAACCTGCTGAGCAAAGGCTTGGGGAAGGACCAGTGAGGGAGCAAGAAACCACAGCCTTGGGGAGGGTGGAAGTAAAGGATGTCCCAGAGGCAGGACTAGAAGGTGTCATGGCAGCCTTCAGTCACTACTCTCCCTTCATGGGTGTGGAAGGATTTACCTACCCCAGGTCACACAGAGAGTCCAGGCCTGGCCAGAGCCCCTATCTTGGCCCCTTCCCAAGGACCCTTCCTCTTGATTCTGTAGTTTTGAGTGGTGTGGGGTGCAGTGGGCACTTGTGTCATCTTCTGGTGCAGTCCTATGCTTGTCGCATCTTCAGTGGTATCCAAAGGTGAGCCTTCAGTCCCTTTAGGACAGAGACCATGAGCCATCCTGCTGTTTTTTCCTCCATCTAGCACCTGCCAAAGGACCGAGCACACGAGTACTTAATTTAAATGAACTGGTCTGCACTGTGTGTGTGAGTAGAGAGTCTATATGCTGTCACATGTGAATGTGGGGCATGGATGAGGAACATGTTGCACATGTGGGTGTAGTGTGTTTACACCATGGGGTGTCATAAGGGGTGTAGGGAGTGATTACTATAGTAACTAATAAGAGAGAAATGGAGCGCGTCCACTGTGCAGGTGTACCTCTCAGGAGCACTGGAGGTGTCTGCACCTCGGGGTGACCCATAGGGGTATATATGGCAACTACACATTGGCGACTACTGTTTGGGGGCATAATAGCTGTGTGCACTGCAGGGTATCCTGTAGGGGCAAATGGATTGTCTGCACTGTAGGGATGCACCATTTGGGAAATATAGGGGTGCCTACTGTGAGGGAACATGAAAAGTGCTGAGAATGTAGACAGAGGCAGGACCCTAGGGAGAGGTATCTCCAGGAAGGTGACTGCCACCATCTCCCAAGGAGGGGCTGCCCGCTGGGGACACCTCAGTTCCAGGACTGGTCCTTACTCCTCCCAGGACTTGGGGACCTCCTTTTTGGGGACTAGGCTTTCAGGGCCTGTAACAAATCTTCCTCTGAACAGGAATTTAATGTTTGCAGACTTTGGAGGCAACTCTGGTGAATTAAATGAACATTCAAATTTGGGGTACATAAGTAGTACAGGAGTAACTATACAGTGGTTAAAGTTCCACCCCAGGTTTGGGATTCTTGTATTTGCTCTAGTAAATAGTATGGTAAAAATATCTCCCAATTGGGTGGAGGTAAAATGAGAAAGCTGGCTGACTGGAGAAACTCATACAGTGGCCTAGGAGGCTGTGCCACATGTCAGGACCTACTGCAGACGTTAGCCCCACGCTCTACAGTTTGTAAAGGGCATCGTCCCAGATGCCCACAGAGTGCTGTAAGGCATAAGGCAGATACTGATCATATTCCAAGTTTACTAAGAGTACAACAGGGCCGGGCGCAGTGGCTCACGCTTGTAATCCCAACACTCTGGGAGGCCGAGGCGGGCGAA